GAAGGAAGGAAGGAAGGAAGGAAGGAAGGAAGGAAGGAAGGAAGGAAGGAAGGAAGGAAGGAAGGAAGGAAGGAAGGAAGGAAGGAAGGAAGGAAACTGGAAAACAGCCATCAGTTCAAAATACAGGTGGTTAGCAGAGGTCACAATGGGATTACCGGCTGTCTTCTGTCCTGCCACTTGTTGAAGAAATTTGAACAGCCAAGGAAGTAGTTACAGCACTGAGAACAAATGTAGTTCTTCACATGCTCAGAAACTCTCTCAAACACTGCATCCTGGACAAACTTTGTGTCCTCACAAGATGAATATTCCTAGTCACATGCTGCATTTGAAGATGAAGATACCAGCAGCTGCAATCATCTCTCCAAGCCCACATGGTGAGTTAGGAGCAACATGAGGACAACACAGGAATTTCCAGTTGATCAGATGGCAGGGATTCTTCATCAGATTCTAAAATGAAGGGGCTTTTTGCTCCCACCACCAGCAAAAGGAGAGCACACCTTAATGTTCAGTGATCACTGAACATTTTCTTTGGCTAAAAAAAAGTGTTTTAATTRTTCTGTTAGTGGCTCTCAGACATCTTTCCTTGCCCCAAAACATAAAAAGTGAAGTATAAAACTGATAGAAAGAAACTGAATAGGGCATGAGACAGTCATTACAGTGTTGGTTTCTTTCCTGAGGTACAGGGCCACACACATTGCATACTTTTCTGTAATGAATTTTGTTAAAAAAAAAAAAAATTATTTCAGTCTGTAGTAATGCAGTACATTTAAGATTATTACACTAATTAATGCTACCACTAAATTAAACACCAGTTTTGATACGTGAGTACAGTATTGGTTGAAGTCAGGGTAGGAGGCGTTTGACAAAAGGGTCTGACTGCCTTTACAGTCAGAGACATCTTTGTCCTCTGCATTTGAGCAGGTTTTCCAGGTGGTCACTTAATCACTGGAAGTTGAAACCAAGATAAACTCAGTGTGGAAAGGCCTCTTCTGAAAAGGAGTAATCACATCTAGATGATGATGTCACAGTTTTTTTTKGAATTATGACTGCACTAAGAAAACATTGAGTTTGAAAGGACTTCATTAGATACACCCCACTGCAAATYCAGGGGTGATGGGTTTTCTTGGATAATTTGCTAGGAAAGAAAATGCTGCAACTTGGATGTGATTCCCTCCACCAATATCGGTTACAGTTGACTGTAAGGTACTGAATCTGGAACTGAAAAGAAATTTAGGAAAGCAAGAAGAACAATGGGACCGAGATAATTTATCATCAGGCAATGGCACGCTGCTTGTATTTATTCAGAAACACTTCTGAAAGAAGAATTTWATGAAAGTCGCCTTGTTGCTTCATTGCAGAAGAGCAATTTTGTGGTCTGATACTGCTGTCAACACACAGCAGCTGCACAATGTTTTCAAAGGAAGTAACACTTAACACATCAGCATGGACTTAGCTAATTAAAGCCATGCACAGAGCTGAGTGGCAGGCAACAGCTTGGGCTGARGCATTACATTCTCCACTAGGCTACAAAAGTTCCACCCAAAAAGGTAAATCTTAGACATCCAAAATATCTTGTGTCATGTTTACTTTCATCCTAAAAATGTTCAATCACAAATGCCTGTCATTCTGGACAAGTTTCTTGGGGTTTTCTATTTGGATTGCTACATGAGATTGGAAGCACCAAGATTAAYCTGTGAGCAAGGCACTTTAAGACTGGTAACTCTTTCGCAAGAACCGATTTCATTCWAAACCATGGGAAAGCAAGGAGTTAAAAAGATCTTGAGGGAACCATTGCTGCCTCCTCCTCTGTACAACCAGCACCTGTCTTCAAAAGAAGATTCAGATTCCTGAATTCTAATGAARAAACAAAAAGACATCTCCACAGGTGCTTTAAATCTCTAAAATGTGGAGAAACAGCTGGAGCAGAACCAGCATCCCTGCAATGTGTTTAGCACCTGTCCATCCTGGTTACATCTTCCCATGGTGACCCAGAGCTYTTCCTCTCGTTGTGAGGACTCACATTCCAGACTGGGCAGGCAACTTGCRAAGACGCTTTTGCCCTTGTCAGCTACAAAGAGAAAAGGGGCCAATCATGGCTTTTACTCAGACAAAAGGCAGGAGCTGGGAGAAGYTCCCGGATTATCTACTCCAGAATCSTCACACGGGCATGTTCACAGTGACCACCTTACTGAGCCCTTTAGGAAGAGGAACACTGGGTGGCAAACCAGAGGCAACCTCTCAACATCTCCTGGTGACACAAGAAAGAGCCAACATTCACGTGCCCCTGCTCTGGGGGACATTGTCAGGGAATCATTTACAATAGCCAAGCCTTCCATGGGTGTCCCACGTGAGTGTTACCAATTAGGTTATGTCTGGAGCAGGATCACCACTGCACGTGCCCAGGGACATTTTCACAACATGCAGCTTGTTGCTAGATACAATTTGATCCTTAAAACTCAGTTTTAAGTACTATAGGAYTTAAAACTACAGCAAGGTAACTAAAACTTAAACCTTTACAACAATTAGTAAACTCCACCTTTTGAATAAAGAGGCTTTTTACCTCTGGCTTAATGGTGGCAAGAAATGCTGCCAGCTTCCAKTAAAGGAGTGTCTACTTTCCAGGCAGCAACTGTAGCCTCTAGGCAATCCCTACCTGGAACTGCAGTCCCTGGCAAAGCATTGCATTACAAATAATTCAGAGGAAGTTCTTCTTAATGGGACCCCAATAGCTGGCACCTTTAGGAGTCTCACTTGCTACCATGGAGGAGATTAAAATGGGATAGTATAAACAATTTGAAACAGTGTGCATTTCACAGAACATTCCTTGAGTAAAAGCCGCATTTTGAAAGAAATAATTCCCATTGTGGTTTTGATTATATTTATTTTTTAATTTATTGAATTGTTTCCACTTTCAAAATGTGTAAGTTTTGCTCATGTTCTACACTGTCCATTAAGATGAAGAATAAAACCAGAATGATCAGTGTTGCCTCTGGAACTCCTGTATCAGCTGCCAACACAATAAATTTATGTTTAAATTGCAAACAGTATCTGGTGAAATTTTAATCCAAACCAGCAACATTTTTAAATCAAAATCTTAAAACTGTTTCTGGAAGCATTTCTCTTCATATTGGATTTTGAGACCTTTTTAGAGAACAGAACCAGTATTTTACGCCTATATTATGCAACCAYATTACATTCTGAAAATGGAACTATTCAGAGAAAGCAGTATTTCTCCAAAGAACCATTAATGAACTGAAAAGAAAACCCTGGTGCTGCTACACTTCTTGCCCATCAGGCAAATACATAGAACAGATCAGAATGTTTTGTCCAAAGGATGGGAAGCGCCCCAGTGATTCCCAACTGTCCGTAAAGATGTTGTACTTCAGGAAGAGACGCTGCTCCAAGCTGGAAGACAGAGTAATATTCCTACTCAGGATATAAACTCCATCGTTGTGGAGAGTGCAAGTCAAGTTAAGGCCGGATTTGGACGAGTTCTCATTGAGGTAGAGCCATTCTTTGGTGGCAATGTTGTAAGACTGCACAGTCAGCACATCCTCACTGGGGCTGGATCTCTGGTTTGGTCCAAGGTCGAGGATACAGCCCCCCACCAGGTAGATGGTCTCCTCCACAGACAGCATCTGCTGCTTGCGGACGTGCACGTCACACAGCTCCAAGTTGGTCCAGGAATCAGAAGTGGGACAGTACTGCAGGATGTTCATGTTCCTGCCTGAAACAGAGAGGAGACGTTTACAAATAGAAAATTCTATCAGCAGGCACTCACAGGGGAGCATTTCTCTTCCCTAYAAAGTGTCCCAGCCTTTACTCGATTGCTCACACACTGCAGTGCTAAAGCAGGGTAAGGCAGGTGAGAAATGGGATCACTGACAACTGCAGCTTTTTGCCCTTGACAGTAAACTTTGGATGCTCTACTCCTTGGCATACAAGAAAAAAATTATGGTTCTTCTGGCACATTACATGATGTAAATTGTCTGGGCATGCAGATTTTAGCAGAATAACCCCTACATTTTAACTTGTGCTTTTAATTTTGTCTCTGATTGATATATAATAATTTTCTTACGAAGAGGGAAATGAGACAATATTCTCCTCTCCAAAAGTGGTCACAGATGAATCAAACTACCATGAAGACAGTCTGCTTCATTAATGGCTGTCAAGTGGTGATTTATCATCCAAGCTTAACTTTGATACTTTGCATTTCATTCCATAAATAAAAGTTTTATGGAATAGAATTCGTAAAGCTGGTTACATTTCAGCAAGTGGCCTGGATAACCTACGGGCACCTTATAAAGAGAGAAACATACACTGTCAAAATAATTTCAGAACCGGGAACTCTGTGCTCAGCCATCAGGCAGAGGCTCAGAAAGAAGCTGAAATAATTTCCATAATTTACTTGCAACTCAGTGGGTGCCTGTGTTTGCAGTAGTGTTATTCTACAGAATTGTTACAGTGCCACCCTGATTTATGGTGCAGCTAAGACCCCGGCTGTGCCCAAGGCATCACTAAATTATCACAGAATGCACAGGACTCAGTAAATTCAATTCTAGTCTCTGGAGATCTGAGCTCAAATCCARCCTCAAGTGACAAGCAGGAACAGGTTTGCAGACTCCAGACGGGTCTTTTACTAAATCTGCTCCATGTTACCAGTCTGTCCTGCATGATGACTTCCAGATGAGCTCCCAGGGGGAAGAGCAGACAGGGACATACTCACAAGTTCTGTAARGGCACAGGTATAAATAGCCAGAAATATAACTGGATTGTCATGAATGAAGTGCATCAGTGGCATGACTGGGAAGGTGCTGCTCTAACATTTGCACTCTGATTATTTTCATGGCAATGTTCTGTGAAACTGCAGCTCTACATATAGATGACCTTTGTCTACAAACAACGTAACATTCTCTGACTCATTAAGGGGAGGAGAAGTCCCAGTTAAGTTTTTATGACCATCTATAGCAGTGAATTTCCCTTGGAAAAAGTGCTATTTGAGAGCAGRTGTATGAAATAGAAGTCCATTGCAATGTGGCCGTCACATGCTCAGTCCACAGCCTGGGTCTTTTCTATCCACTGAAACAGCAAAAAAAAACCCACACAATACAGAACATGAGCATTATAGTGCCTGGCATGGAATTTCTATTAGGATCTAGGTTCACAAGTGAGAGCTGCAAACTCGAGGGAGGGACTTTATTCAAGCAATGTCATTATAATCTACAGTGGGAAATTCCAGATCCTGCCATATTTTGCAAAGTGCAGTCTCAGCAGAAAGCCTATAYAAATTWAAAAAATTCCCCACAAAACCTACCAAAACTGAAGTATATACAGAAATACCAAAAAAATAATAAAATAACCTAACATAAAAGCCATTAATTACTGCGTGTGTTTTATATAGTGAATTTAGCAAACCAGCAAATTAATCTTTAATTAATTAATAAGTATGTCTCAGATCTTTAGGCCTTAACACTTTCTGACATCTGCATAATTCAGAMGGAAAATCACCAAAGTGATTGTGGCAATTCTGGTTTTTAAGTCYGCCACCTGTCCTAAGCCAGGTGTCACAGAAAAACTGATCCTAGACCCTTGGCCAGGAAATTATTTAARACAAGCACAGGCATTTGTTGTCCTGAGTGTCCTTTAAACAGAAGCCTAAATGTGCTAGTTATCCACTGCTCACAATTTTGTATTATTTTACTGCCCCATTTCCATTGAAAAGGCTTTCAGGAAAAGACTTAGGAGAAGACACAGGTTGGAGGGCAGCAACAGATCCCTGAAGTGTGGAGGAAGCCAGAAATAACTCACTACCCTCCTTCAGTYGAACCCACAGGTAGCAAGTACCAAGTTAATGAGCCTGACACAGGGCAGTAACCCTGACTGCACATGGCTTGTTAAAGTGTTTTAAAGGAATGGGATGTGCATTAGCAATGTGCTCATCTTCCCCTTCCTGACACCAAGAGTAGGCAGCCTGATGAAAGAAAATGCAAGCATCAGAATCGGAACTTGCAAAGTGCAAAGAGTGTAGGAGAAAAGCTAGTCCTCCCACAATCATGTAGTACTCTCAACCAAATCAGAGSGTTTTTTTGTTACCTCTTCTGTCTCTTGATAAAAATAACAACCCCCTAACTCTAGCCTCTTGAGACAAGTCTTCCAATTAACTTGTTTCAATCCCTTCTTCTTGTTCTCTTGTCTCATAGGATGCTTCCCTTTGGGTCTGACTTCTCAGCATGGCAAGTGTTTTCATGCCAGACAYCTCTTGAGCCCCAGTGCTGCACGTGAGGGAGCCCCAACAGATCCTGCAGTGGGGACGAGCAGAGGACTGGGACTACAGCAYTCCATATAGACAGAGGCACATTTTCCTCTCAGAAACCACCAGGCTCTGGGTCAGAATGGTCTGGACAAAATGTGTTTGTGGGTTTTCATCACGGTGAAAGGTGGCAGCATGTCTTTTATAAACATTAAAATTATTCAGAGCCCARATCTCCTCAGACACTAGAAGGGACATCTTGTTCTATTGTCAGTTTAGCTTTTCTTGCAGTACTGCCTGTAAAAGCTCCTCTGTCTTCTAATTTCATTCTCTGGAAAGAAAACCCTTAAAACAACTGTGGTCAACTGAAGTGGGCAAAGGCCAAATTCAAATTTATGAAATCCTGGTAACATTTGACATGTTTAAAAAATTGACTTCGAAAGCTGAGAAAATGGTCTTCCTTCTAAAAAATGGCACTATGTACTTCAGGAATGAACAGATGGGAGCTCTTTTTAACTGAACTTGTTTGTCCACTCGATAAAAGTAATTTCAGAAGAGAATTAAATTTCAAATCCTTCCCTCTGTACAGTGTCCTCAGAAAACTTGGTATAGAAATAAAATAAGCTAAAAGTGTCGGTTCTTGCTTAAGTCTTTGATTATTCTATTTAGTTATTATGGTATAGCTTGAATCTGCCCGTGATACACTGAAATACTGTAGGGAAAAGACCATGACTTTCACTAATAAATGAGAAATACTTATGCAGGGAGATATTTTTCCTTTTGACAGTGTAGACTGGGTATTTAAAAAGTAAACCAAGTATATCTGTTGATGCCTCTTTGTACTATGTGATAAATCTAAGAAAATGAGTAGAGCCTAAGTTGGGTGCTGAAATACCCATCAGTTTGTTGTCTCCAAATAACAGAGCCCCAGATCCACAGAGGCTCTGATTCTTCCCTAACAGAGCTATTTTTTTGTTTTGTCAAATTTATCAATTATTTTCTACCAACAATTTATTTCTATGTGTTTTAATGAGCATTACACAGCTTTCTACWGGAGTTTGAAAGCTTTCCTGAAAAAACGGAGAAAATTATCTGGGCCTTGGAAACAATCAGGTAAAAACCAACAAGAAGTAACAGCAAACTTGTTACCTCGTGCAGTGTATCCTCCAATAACATAGATCTTGCCCTTGCATTCACAAGCTGAGAATTCTGCGAGAGGGTTTGGCATGGATGCCACGAAGTTCCACCAGTCATTTTCTGGGTTGTAGCACTCCACATTGGAAAGGGACTGGCCACCAATGGCATAGAGCTTTCCACTGACAGCCAGGAGCTTGAAGTTGGATCTGAAAGAACAGATTGCAGATCTGAAATGAGTTGCATCCATGAACACAAACACACAAGGGAGAAAGTTCTTCCTATCCAGGCTGAAACACTCATCGCCACTAACAGATTGCACCATTACTTCAYGTAATTGCAGCATCTGAACTCTTCTATGCAAGGCCAAAATCCTGTAACTATACTGTAATTAGGACAGTAACTAGTGACATTCTGGATATTATTGATGATACTGCTGAGACTGAGAAATATTTTATTTTGTATTTCAATCTGTGCCAGTTCAGCTCTAAATGTTAACAAATGTGCTCAATAGATGGCTTGTTTTTATTAGGCTTTTAGTAAGGTACCATTAGCAGAGAAAAATGCATTACATGGACACACAGTGAAAGAAATTACTTCAGTTAAAATTGCAGAATTTTCAGAACAAGACTTGAYGGATGCCTAAGAATGCATATTTGTCTTAGGCTGTATTACGGAATCTCTTTAATAACCCTAATAAAAAACAATTTAAAGTGGAACACATTGAACCATATTCTGCAAAAGAAGGAAGAGGGAATCTTCTGTACCTTATTCAACATTAAACTACCAAATACATCCTCTGAAGCAAGATCTATCTGTAAATTATATTCTACCCATAGCTGAACAAAAATTACATTGCACTTCATGAGCAATGACCTGATGACCTGGTCATTTATTTCTTATTCTGTTCCATTACGCTCTCAGAATTCACACATGGCAAAAGGCAGCTTTCTAGTTCTTGAAGCACAAGAAGCCTCCTGTCTCACACTCTGAAGGTAACACAAAGCAAATGGTCCACAGGTACCGAAGGTGCAAATCTGGAGGATGTGAAGACAGAACTCTTGTATGCTCAGTTCCTCCTTCCAGCTAGGGAAGCTGGGCTAATAAAAGATGAACTTTTCCTCTCCACAGGAACAGTCTCATCACCTAGAAGACTTGTTCAGTCTCTACTGCTGAACCAATTGAGATTTCACCATGAGTATTCCCATTAACTGGATGTGTGGCAACCCCTGGAGTGCACCAGCCCAGCAAAAAGTCAAACAGGGAACTGTGTTATGTCTGTAAAACTGAAGGGATGTTTCGTATCTACACTGGCCTGCTGGGCAGCAAAGGGARTTCCACACTGCAGGAATCCAACATTCAATACTTAACTGCTAAGTACTTTTGCAGGATTTTGTCTGGCCTAGCGGCAGACTGTCCTGCAACTTCTTTTTATTAAAYATATTTGGAAAAATAATTTGTTTCCAGATGGAATCACTTTGTTCTTGTCATCCTGATATGCTTTGCAAACTAAATGCTCCTTTGAAGGAATTAATTCCATTTTATTATTTTTTTCCTCTGACATTTACAATTAGGTCAGTCTGTTCATGTTCCCTCAATAGCAATTATGAGTTCCATTTTAGAGAATCCAGAATAACATAGTGATCAATAGSAGGTATGAAATGAGGATAACTACTTGCAAATCATTAGGACTTTCAAAGCAATATACCTGTTGTAAAAGTTAGGAGAGGAAAAAAAATTCCACAAATTAAAATGGGGGCAAAACTACAGGGAAAATTATCTACTGAAACACAAACAGCACAACTTTCRGCTTTAAATATTCTAAAAGAAGGTCACAAACCTTTGTGCCAGTCATGTAACCACTTCCAAACACTTGTTAAAATGGATGATATTCAGTGGAGATATCTCAGATTTATGAACTTCATTAACAATAAGATTCATTTTACTCAAAAGTAGCTGCAAGTATCCATCAGCGCACTTCATATGCAAGTCTGGACAATGGCTCAATATGTTATGAAAAACTTCTACCATTCACCTCTCCATGCCAGTAACAGCAGGCGTTTTCATGGGGAGTGAACATTAGGAAATGTTTAGTGCATTTTTACACTCTTTTAATGTGTTGGAGCAGCTGGAAACAAGGAAAGCAAACACTGAGCAGGGAGCCAGCTCTCCACAACCAACAACTGTTCCATGGACTACAGCCTGGAAACAGCGGGGCTGAATCCGTCAGATTATACCACAGTGGAACTCCACTCACACCTGCGACTTGTCTAAACATGAGGGATCAAAATGTGCTTTCCAAAACCTAGGTCTTGTGGGTCCCTTCTTCTTGGGATAGCCTTCTGCTGCCCCCATTCACTCTAAACAGAAGCCCAGAAASACTAGCAATTGGGAGCTGTGGGGTTTTACCATCGCTCAAAATCCATTCCTCACTCACTAAAGTGAAAAGCACCATGTGCACAAAGGAAGGAAAGTGTAACATACAAATACATTTTACAAAATGTAAAATACGAATACAAAAGACCTGGAGGTCAAAGACGCTTTCTGAACACAAGGCCAACACTCCACAACTTCCCAAAACCCCCACATGGCTGTGGATTGTGTTAGGTGTATCTGCAGGAGGCTATGATAGCAGGAGCTATAAAGGACCAGCAAACTTGCTTTTGTTCACTGACAATTTCACTTAAATGTACAACAAAAAAGAGCCCAGATACTGGAGAGGACTTTCTGATCAGAGGGGTGGCTAAACATGGGAACAAGACACCTGGGAGAAAGATTCCAATAGCCTGGAATCTACACTGCTGGAGGATTTCAAGAGCAAGTTAAATGCGTATTGGCAAGGTAGCCTTGGTCCTGCTGCAGAACACGAGGCTTGGACTAACCAACACATTGTTTCTTCCTGCCAAATGATCAACTTCAATCTTAGAATTTCTCAAAAATCAGATGACTTCTTATTCTAGAATTAAAGCATTTACAGCAGAGACAAGGACTCATAAAAGCAAAATTATGAAGCAATTCCAGTGCATTTTACATGTTTTCAAAGTTACCTTTTTTCCCTTTTTTAAATATTTCTTACATGAGTCTGCAAGTACACTGCATCCAACATTTAGCTTTGGATGTGTCTGATACATTTGTGATAAGTAAGGTATAGATAGTTCTGATCTAAAAATTGTGAAGTCTGTTTTCTTCCCACACAGAATTTTGTCTCCTCAGCTCCTTTGAGAATGCTTAGAGCGACAGCATTTCAAGCACAGATTGCTCACAAAAATCATGTTCCATGTGCATAATTCCAGCCAGGGGCTTACATGGGTCTTCCAAGCCTGGAAGATTTACCTGCCATGAGTAGGAAGGTTCTGAAGGAACACAGAAGTGGAATATAAAGCTCTAAATGGCATATGCAGTAGAAATATTAGGGGTATATTATGTTTAAATAGCAAATTTCAAATGATGGCGATTTTTTGAAAAAAAAAAGAAAAAAAAAAGTATGGAAAGGAATTCAAGGATATTACTGCAACAGTCCCCTACGCACTTTGCCCCCAAAGACCACAAGTGGTCTTAGGCAACACTTACACGGAACTGCTTCTATTAAAAAGTTCAGATCATTCTCTGGAGATACCATTCCAAGTACAGAAACACCTCTAGAATGAAAAGATCTAGAAATTATGATCTGTTGTGGACTATTTGGGACCAGCACTAGATTAGCATTCAGACAAGGAGAAATTCCATGCTCAGTCACAGGCTTTCTTTGTGAGCCTGAGCAAATTATTTTATCTCCCTTGTGTACGCGTAAATGGGGAATAACACTTCCTCAAACTCCTGGGGGCATCACAAGAATAATATACAGGAGGTGCCTGTTGTGAACAAGTCTGAAACTAAAGTGATAAGATCTCTACACCTAGAAATGATGACCCAAACCAGAATGGCTGCTAAATGTTCAGTTTATCTGGTGGCTTTTGTCTTCTACTTAGAACTATTTCATCTAAGCATGTGTAGAGAATCACAGCATCCTGGGATTGTGTACTACAATGGAAATAATGATATCATAGAATWGAAAAGGTTTGTTTAGGGCAGAAAACTCTTTTATGAACAGGACAGTAGCACAATTATGTCCATAGCACCTCAGCCTTCCCTTGAGGCCAACACATGCAGCCACTCATGCAGGACAAATCCAGAACCTCTGATRTTTGAAGTCAAACCAACTTCAATGGAAACTAGAGCCCTCCCTGAAGGTATGTCAAATTTCATCCACGGGATGTAATTATATCAGCTGAYATAAATTCATTTGCCAGACAGTCACATGGCTGTAATTCCTAAGCAGAAGGCTGGGTAACCACCCTGCTTATTTTACTACAGCATAACAAACTAAAAATACAACATCAAGCAAACTGCAGCTCTAAATGCAGCACAGATGTGTGGCAGACAGGCATCAGCACTGAGCATGTTGCATGCAAACCTCTCATGTTAAAAATGCCCCTGCTCTTGGCCTATGTTCTGGCCACAAAACACCAAGCAGGTCATCAGGAAGCTAAATGTTATGCCAGATAGAAAAAAAAATAAGAATTAACAACTACAGAGGTGAGATTACATGAAGCTGGTAAAACCAGAAACATGCTTTGTGAAGGGGTCAGYTAAGTTTGTATGAAAAAAGGCTGCCCCGAATACTCAGAGAGCAGCATCCTCACTGCTACATTGCAGGTGTAATTCTGGGTACTTYTTTGCCTGCAGTAACTACCATGAAATTTAAGACCAGAGATTATTCCAARAATATCTATTTGCATTCTTATTTCTGCAGTAAATGGCCAATGTGAAATGCTGTTGAAAATAGTAGTATCAGGAGGAGAATATCCATGTGTTTATTTCAAGTATAATGATTATACATCTAGGGGGAAAAGAAAGRCAAATGTGAACGAAAAAGGGCTGGTTTAGAGCTTGAATACACAAACTGTAAGGTGCAAAAAGTGCCTTGGGAAAGAATTTTTTGAAAACCCAGGCTGCAGGGTCATCACACATAGYAACAGCTCTCTTGCTGCAGACATCACACAAATAGGACCTCATAAMTTGATCAGTGTGGGACTTCTGTGATTAAGTTGATTTCCATAGGAGTCACTGTGTGGGCTGACCCCATCCTCATTTTTCAGCGAGGCCAAGCGCTCACAACCCTGTTCACACAAGTYCTGCTGTCAAATGAAGCCATCTAAAACATCTCAGCTCCTCAGGCACCTCAGGAAACTCTGCTCTAGGCTCAGCCTCTAACAAACAGGCCTGCAAAAAAAAAGGTGTCTGCAGTATTTAAAAGCKACAGATAAAACTTTTCCCAGCACTGTTCAAAGCAGGCAGAAACACTGAGAAAAAAGGTTTCTGATCAGTTGTGATGACTCATTAGGGAACCGATTCTTTTAGTAAAATACTCAAATCAGTACAGAAAGTGGGGGGAAGAAAAAGGTGAAAGGGGAAGCATTCAATTTTAGGTCGCACCCATTTTAGAGGGTTTAGGTGGCAAAAGCTAAGTAGAGACTTAGACTAGAGCTGTTTGAGTACCCAGATCCAAAGCATTTGTGCCAATGGACTGGGTCTCTGCATGCTCTTTCAATTCACTGGCTAGAGAAAAGGATTTCCATTCTAAAGTTAATTTTGGCCTCCTTACATTTTTTTTCACAGAAAAAAAAATAAAATTTAAAACACTTATTCTAAAATGGAAACAAAGAGGAAGTTCATGCCGGAAACAGTTTGTTTCAGTGTAATGAAAGCCTTTGTTTTTATAACTCCAAAGCTTGGTTAAAAGTAGAGCAGCCACAACCTTGGACTGGGAGAAGGCCTCTCTTCTTGGGTCCTCCTCAAGRCTAGGTCTCTACTCCTCTTTCAAGTAATAAATTACACAAGTGTTTCTGAACACAAACTAAACCATCAAAAGGATAAAGGGAAAAAGAAAAATTGTCAAAATGAAGAATGATTCCCAGATCCAAACATTCTCATCAAGCGAGAAATTTCTCACCATCTTCCTGATSTTTTTTCTAGTGAGTATTTCAGATGTGCAGGCATACAAAACACTCAGATTTTTTATGAAAATAACAGCTCCAACTAAATATTTTCGGCCRTCTCCAGTTCTGGTATAGCCCGTATGACCTCATTAAGAGCAGGAAAACTTGTCACTTACTTAACTGAAGTTACAGTATACCCCAAAGAAAGCACGGAAGGAATTTTCTCAGTGGGTTTGTTTAGTGGTTCAGAGCACAGAGAGCTCTGTATCACATTCATAAGGCTGAGCCAATGCCATGTGACTCAACAGTATCTATCTCACACCAGGCAGGGCCACACGTGTGCCCCAGGGAGCAGGGATTACCTCTTCTGGTTCATCGAGGCCAGCTGGCTCCACTCGTTTAGGCACGGGTTGTAACAGTGCGCGGCCGAAATCTCCTGGCTGGTGATGCGGTAGCCGCCCACGATGAACAGGTAATTGTCCAGCATGGCCGAGCCGTAGCCGCGGACGCTCACCAGGTCCGGGGGCAGGTTGTTGGCCAGGGGCAGCCACCGCTGCGCSTCCTCGTCGTACCTGAGCATGGCCCAGGGCGCGTCCCCCGCGGGGTGACAGCCGGCGGGCACCCCTTGGGGACAGGCGCCCATGAAGTCCCCGAGGAGCACGAGGGTGGCCGTGCCCCTCATGCGGCGCTCTCGCAGCTGCTGCTGCAGCGCCGGGGGCAGCAGGAGGTGCGGGCGGGCGTCGGGCCTGCGCAGCACCTGGTGGTAGTGAGCGGCCATGAAGTCCAGGCAGGCGTCGTGCAGGTCCTGCAGGCCGTACACCTGCGCCAGGCGGTGCAGCTCGAAGCAGTTGCCCAGCCGCACCTGGGACAGCAGCAGGCGCAGCAGGGGCGTGACCTGCAGGTARGACGCGGCCTCCACCAGCTCCTCCAGCAGCGGGGGCTCCTCGTCGCCGCCCTCCTCCTGCTCCAGCCTGGCTAGGCASGACGTGTTGATGAAGTCAAGCACCAGCTCCAGGCCCAGGGCGCTCAGCCCCCCGCGAAGCAGCTGCTCCTCCTGGCCCTGCCCTGCCTCCCGCATTCCCGAGCGGTAGAGCGCTCGGAAATAGTCGCTCTGCTCGATCAGCTTCCTCTTGCACACCGGGTAGCACTTGTCCCCCAGCCGGATCTGCACCACCTCCTCCCCGGCACCGGCCCCATCCCCTGCTTCCCCTTCCCCCTTCTCTTCCTCCTCCTGCCGCCGCCGCCGCCGCTCCGCCAGGGACATCGCTCACCACGGGCCTGGCCGCGCCTCAGCCCGGCCGGAGCCGCCGCGCCGGCTCCTCCTCCGTCACCGGGAYGGGACGGGACGGGACGGGMYGGGATGGGCGGAGCGGCCCCGGGATGCCGGGAAGCGCTGCCGCCGCTCCGGCCCTGCAAGGAGTGACAGGGGGAAGGGAAAAAAAGAAACAACAAAACCCCAGAGAGGAAAGAGAAAAAAAGCCCGAAAAAGGCAATGTTGAGCGCTCCGGTGCTGCCCGCCGGGGGGGCCGTCAGGGCATCCCCCGGGCCCAGCCTGGGTGGGTGTCAGGCACACGGTGGAAAAGCAATGCTCGGCTCCCGGGCACAGCCCAGAGGCGCAGCGATCCCCCCTGGTGCTCCCCTCTCCCGATTTGGGCCGGGATTGCAGCTCCAGCCGCAGCTCTAACCGCTTGCCATAAATGTACCGCTGCATCCCTGGCGAGGGGGAACATTCCCGAGCCGCAMACGCAGGGAAAAAGCACCGTATTCTCAGCTCCGGGTTTGCCCCGTGAAGACACTGCATAACCTGTTCGTAACTCTCTCCTTTCTATTTAAACTAAGTTCCTGGAATCTCATGCGAGTGAATTACATAACAGCGTCCTGAGTTTGTTTGACACGAACAAGGAAAGAGGAAATTAACAACTGCGCATCCTGGGCAAGGGTAAAATGACAGATTTGCTGTTTGTCTTGTTATTCTTCAGACACAATGACAGTCCTTTTTAAAAAAAAAAAAAACAAAAAAAACAAAACCCTACCACCTGCTAAAACAGATGAGAAATCTGCAATGCCTGTATTCCTGCATGATGATACTTAATATAAAGGTGTTCAAAATACGCTTTGTGGTTTTTTTTCTTCATAAAGATATTTCCTTCGGGTATTGCAGGCCATAGAAATTTTTTCCCTTTAGCACTAGTGTGACTCATCTCAAGTTAGTGCAGATTGCTTATGTTTCAAACAATTCTGTTTTCACTGCTCAGAAGGGATCTTTTACCCGCACTATTAAAACATTTCASTGGTATGTGTTTGGGGGGATGGGGTTCCCCTCTCTGTTAAGRAAGACAGGACTGTTTACTTTTTAGCATTTCTTCTGTGAAATTATCCGCTCTCACTGTTTTGTTGATCTTCTTAACTCTCACCCCAAAAGATGACACAAGTGTCAGTTTCAGTTATAGGTGTTCTTTTCTGCTTTTATAGAAGCTTTTTTTGAGGTGAGATTGATTTCTTTATATTTTTGTTTTCCAGCTCACTCCAAAGCATCTTGCTTTTGAAGGGCCTATTTCATGTTCTGAAATYCTTTTATATAGGATCTCAGCCAGCCCCAAAGAGGTCTCTACAGCAGCCTCAGTCACCATCACCTCTCACCTTCTCTTCCCTACTAATGTATCTCACAGCTTGCTTGGATTATGTTCCTCTTTYAATCTTCCTCATTTTTTAACTAATATTCAAATTCCACTTTTCTGTCTTCTGTCCTTGATGAAGCRTCACAATGCTTGTTTTTTTGATTTTCTTAGACCTCGCTGAAGCTTAAGTATGAGCAATGGGCTGGTTTTTTTTTTTCTCTGCTTCTGATTAAGTCTTCAAAAGATCATCACACACCACGAGTGTCTCACCACTTCAGCTGGAGTGCAACCTTTAATTCCTTCTTGTCCTTTAATTCCCATAGGCAGACATTTCAAGCAATTGTAATCATGAATACTCCTGAGGAAAACAGAGATCTCGTGTTTGGCATGGCTGGGAAGCTGCCCTGTTGGAATACAGCAGGATTGCCATCTTTAGACATCTTGCATTGGAGTCTCTTATGTTTCATGGATTTGTAAGTTAGCTCCTAATTGGTGYTTTTTTCCATGTGGTCATGGTAAGTTCAGCCTCAAAGTGTTGACACCACAGCCTGGATAGATGGAATATTTCTTCTCTGGCCCTATGTTGCCATATGTGCTTGCGCCTGCTACTCTGCCTGGGATTTCCAGTCCTTCCTCACAGTTCACAAGGTTTGTTAATGGGCTGGATCAGTTCTGGCATGTACTAATAAGTGTTTTATTCCTGCCAGCAATCTTTCAAGGGCACCAACTCCCACAGCTTGCAGCAGGAGCTCTCAGGAGCCCAAGGGGTCAGCAGTACTGAGTGGCCACTTTTGCAAAAACCTGTTTCCTTACGCAGTTGTTTTTACTGGGCTKATTGTCATCTCCCTGTGCTTTATCCAGGCTCAGGCTGGGCAGTTGTGCTAAGCCAGAGTGTGCTGACAGGGCAGGTCCCTTGTTTTTTACTACACTCATCAGTCAGCCTGTGTGATGTGCTTAGAGTACCTACACTGCAAATACACCAAGGCAAGGACTACTCTTTTGTTCCACTTTTATGGAGGTAATTTCATCTTCCAGTCTTCCAGTCTGCTGCCATATTGGTTTATTCTAAAATCCATAATACATGCTATTAKACTGGAATCAAAGAAAAGGCGTTGCTGTTTCACCAGAAGTCACCTTGGTTGTATCTTAAGTGAATTAGAAATGTATTTTGCAGAGTTGGATCTCTAGTTCTAGAGCTACAAACTCAAAATCTGGAGTTCAGAACCATAAAAGATTTGCATGATCTTTGAAACAAATATGAAGGAYCATCTCTCATCCTTCAAGAACATGCTGAAGGATGTTCATATGAACGTAACATGAAAAGAATCATTGTAGATGTTAAATGGGTTTATGATTAAAGAAATGCCCTGAAGAACAAGACTTACAGGGAAGAAGRCAAGGGTAACTCTGCTCAGCTTTGCAATATCTGTCTTCTAGACTTTGGTTCCTAGGCAAAATCCTCAAGCTGTTTTAGACAGTTCAGGTCTTCCTTTACTGTACCTGAGACAAACTGATACCAAGGAAAAGGGTTCACAAGTGCCAGCAAAGGGACTGTGAAGACATCAGAGAGTGTCAGKAAGGGCTCTCTTGCTCTAGGGTTGAGCTGGACATTTGTGCTACATAATTTTTTCCTGTGCCTGGTGCCTGAACTATTTTCTTGTACTACTTCCAAGGCTGAGGAGAGATCACTCTTTTATTTTAAAAAGATGTAGAAATGAAAGAAGCTTTTTTTCATACAGCAACCTCATTGTAATAGACCATTCAACCATGATAAACAAAATCTGAGCCTTTCTCTGCCTGGGCACACATTTCTATAGCCCTCTGACCTTCCCAACATAGCAAAAGCAAGGATTCACAGAGAGTCAGAAGGAGTTACTGCTACAAAGACAAGGAAAGTAAAGCCAGAGAGATGCTGGATAATACTTGAGAACCAGAGAATAACACTGACCTGAATGCACCGAGAAAAGGACCACACTGTGGCRAAAGCAAACTGGAAAAATTTAATTCCTTTCAGCCTTAAGTGTGAACTGGAACCAAATCTGGAGATATTTAAAATATCCATGCTATCTAATATAAAATATAAAGTGCCACATTCTGTTCTCTGAGCCGCCAGGGAATTGTCCTGCACTGCCAGGGAACTGGGCATTGAGTAATAGTGGAATTACTCAAGAGAGGAATTGGTATTTTGGAAAGGATTTGCCAACTGCAGCCATTGTTAGTATTTTCCCTGTCACAGGATACTAAGTAAGCATCTATGGAACATACAGGAATATCCTACAGTATTTCAGCATTTAAAATATCCGTCTTCTAAAGGATCTTGGCATTTCTGAGAGGAACCTGCTAAACAAAGGTAATTTTTCAGATTGCAGCCAAACAAAGCAGGTCTTACGCAGTGCCATTAGCAATGCTATTTWAAAAAAATTCTCATTCTGTTTATTTTTTTCTGCTTTTAATGTGCTGTTTAATTTATTCCCTGCAATGAAGGTATGTTGCAGCACTACTGWAAGATACTTGGAGTGGCATTTTTTTTGAAAGCAGATTATTTATTATCAAGTACTTGCATGTGAGTGATTTGATACCAAAGTTTGTGCTCCTGAGCTCTCTCTGGACAGCAAAAAGGCTCTGTGTGTGGTGGGGATTCCCTGTGGATCATGAGGAAGTACAAGCATTAGACAGCAGGGTAGAGATGGAAGAGTGTAGATCCTTACAACAGCTTTCAACCTGGTCCATTTTTTATGCCACAGGCCCAGCAAGGAATTTCCTTGAAACTCCCTCAGGTGAAATAAATGTTCCCTGACAAAACCTGAATATGGATCAGGCTGCTAGAGTGCTCTGCCTGCTGCTGTTAGGGATGTTTGCTCTGCACAAATGCATTGTGCATCCACAGCCAGGAATTTCTTGTGTAGCTGTGTCTGGAGGAGACTGAAGTGGGTGCTTTTAAAATAGCAGGTATTTTTTAATCCTGGTGCAGACAGGCAGAGCTGAATTTTAGTACATAATAACTAGGTAAGATGAATGGTAATCCACAAGAAGACTTTCGCTGAGTATCCAGTTCTATAAAATTCACCACAAGATTGAAACTCCATCCCCTTTGCCTAGTTCAATTTCTGCCATAAATCAGTATCTGTTCATTAATGTTTGTTAAACATTGTGCCTTTTGTCATAAAACTTGGCTCAAGCTGATCTGTAATGACAGTAGATTTATATTTGTGTAAATCTAATCTGGCTAAGACTTGTGTTGCTCTTTGCTTGAGCACACAGTTTCCAGCCTTCATGCAGGTTGTCCAGAATTAGTGTGAAGTGAAGCTCTGAGAGAATCTCAGGGCCTGGCAACCCTTGGAAAGAAGGGTTTAAAAAACTGTTTGCACAAAGTCCCAGGAACAGAACCTGAAATATTTTACCTCTTTTTACCATGTTGCTGGGATAGGACTGAAACTAGAATCTTTGGATCCAATTGTCCCAAACCTCAGAGAAGATCAGATTTATTAAAAATGTGATATATTGCTCCAAACCAAAACCTAACCACTAATCGCTGTTTTTGACAAAACAGTTCTCTCAAAAAATGTTTTTWTGCTGAACTTTAGACGTTTTGCAAGAGTGTTTTGATTTCAAGGAAAATTTTAAAGGAGAAAGAAAGCAAGCACATTATTTGAATAATATCAAAGAGATTTCATTTGCTTTTTCCATATATTTACATTTTATTATTTCATGATTCATTGCATTAGTCTTTTATAACTTTTATACCTTAACAGAGTTGCAGTGACATATTCTGGGATTATCAACATACCTGGCTTTCTTTAAATTTTGACCTTACTCCTACTATAATAAAGGGAATATACACGTGCATATCAGGAAAGTGAGATAAAGATGATTATAACACAGGCCTAAAATTCAGTTTATTTATGTGGAGCACAAAACAGGCAGGGAACTTTATGCTGATGTAACATGGGATTATGCTGCACATTTGTTTAAATTCATTACTGACATTCACAGGAGGACTTAGGCAGGTTAATACTTCACCTGGCAAACTGCTTTGATCTCACTTCTYATCTTGTCACCTTCCAACTGATTTGTCACACAATACCTGGAGAAGGACTRRGGGTAACCCAATTGTGGCCTTGCAGTGTCTGAAGGGAGCCCACAGGRAAGATGGAGAGAGACTCTTGSCAAGGGCCTGGAGTGACAGGACAAGGGGGAATKGCTTCACACTGACAGAGAGCAGGGTTAGATGGGATATTGGGAAGAAATTCTTCCCTGTGAGGGTGGTGAGGCCCTGCACAGGTTGTCCAGAGAAGCTGTGGCTGCCCCATCCCTGGAAGTGTCCAAGGCCAGGCTGGACAGGGCTTGGAGCAACCAGGGATAGTGGAAGGTGTCCCTGCCCATGGCAGGAGGGTGGAAATGGATGAGCTTTGAGGTCCCTTCCAACCCAAATCATTCCACAATTCTACAGCTACATAAATCCTTTCTGGTCTTTACATATTCTGAGTGATAGAACCCAATATTCCATAAAAGCTAAATATAGTTCCAAAAGTCAAGATGTATCTCTTATTCATATGGAAAAAGTGTCTGCTTTTGTTTCTGTTTGGCAAAAAAAGAGTTAATGCCTGATGATGAATCCTTTGTGCTGGGAAGCTCTTGGATTGTGCCATTCTCACTGCCAGCCCAGGTGGGAAACTTCAGGGACTGTTTCTGATTATAAGAGAATTATGAAAAAGAGCATTTTTTTTCTGGTGTGGSAGGTCCATTTATATCTCTTATTGAAAGTTCTACAAAAACATCCAYGTTCTCACAGGAGACAAGCACCTGCCTTTTTGTTTTCCAGGAGGAAATGTGAGGAGTCGGATGAAATGAAATCCTAAATAACATGAATTGTTGTTCTGGTACTGGCCAGAGACTCTCTTGTATCAGTGAAAGCCTCTTGGTTCCCCTTTACAGAGCACATGGAAAATCAGCCACTCATTTGCAGGTAAGACTTGGGGATTTCCTTCTTGCAAAATGTTTGTGAATTAAAATTTCAGCACTAATTTATATACATGCATTTCCCATTGAAAAGTGTAAGTGAAATTAAGGGGAAACTGGCAGAAGGCTCTGAAATTTAAAGATAGAAGTTTTCAGTTTTTAAAGGAAATTGTCTAAAGCAGCCATTTATTTACTTATTTCAATCCCTTTATTTTCATTAAAAAGCAAGTTTCACTGCAGCTATTTCTGCTCTTAAAATTTATTCAGAAACAGAGAAGGAGAGAAATGTTTTAATCTCCTTGTTAAGTGCTTCCCCAAGTTATTCAGTCTTCCAGGTTTCTCTTCTTGGAGATACAGGAAGAGTAGAAGAGAGGAAAGCAATCAGAAATCAGCATTTTTGCATGGAAATCTTAGAAAAATACACTTTCAATAATGCTTGTGGCAATGGTAGAAAAATGTCTAAAAACTTCCCTGTGCAGTCCACTGAATGCAGGCTGTCAGGTATTTTAAAATGTGTTTAAGGTTTTAAGTGCTGATTATCACAGAGATAAAATATTCAACTCCCAAAACGAAATAAAACAACACAAGTGCCAAGAGCTAGTTTTTAGGATAGAGGCTTGAAGAGTCCACTTACCCTCTTTCTAACAATTTAATTCTTGTATTCCCCACAATAGGCATTTATTTGGAATCCTCCTAATTAGAGTTGCAATGAATAAAATAATGCCTTGGCCTTGCTGTTGGATCAGCAGGGGTTAACCCGCTCTGGGCTTCATTACCTTCCAATGAGCTGTGTAAGGAACAAAATATTACATGTGTCAGTTCATTTCCAAACTGGGAGCCTTGTTCTGCAAAACAAACATCATCTAAAATGACTGAAGAATTAAAATGAGTTTGAGGCTCTCCCCACTCCATGTAACTCATCTATACTTCATGTGGAAAGGAGGAAATTCCTTGATTTTAATCTTGAAGGATAAAAACACAGTGTAAAATATTTTTATGTATTAAATACCCAATTTTTATTGCAGACAGCCATACTTCTACCTAACTCTCTCAACCTCCACTGAGTTTAAATCAACTCGTGTATTGTAATATTTTAAAGCCTTTCTGGTTTCAGACCAGGTGCTTGAAAAATCATCTCCCAGCTGTGTTTTCTTTCTGACAAGCCTTTTCCAAGCTTAAACATAAGCAGAAAACCTTGTCTGGACTGCTCAATATTCTTAAACTTGTTAGGGGCAGAACTCTCTCATAGCTTGAATGTAGGTTCCAGCCCTTTCCAGTCACAGAGAGTTCATCTAGTCCTAGATTTTTGCAAATAAAATTGTACTATKCTTGCAATCAAAACAGTGTAGGGAAGGGGAACAGATCTCTACCTCTGGCTGGCAGACAGAAAGTTCATTTGTTAGCAAAGAAGGCAAATAAATGCAGTCACCAGATAATTCTGATACTAAACAGAGTTGTTTCTCTGTGCTGAGCATAACAATGTTCCTGAACAAAGTGAGGGGGAACAATGTGCTGCACTTATTACTATTCACCAAATCTCAAGGCTGCCTGCATGGTTTGGTCAAGAGACACAAATGGGACCATAGGAACAAGTTCTCTGAATGACCAAAAACAACCTATCCTTTTTGTGTCTCAAAATCCATCTCRAAATAATTAAGTTAGAGAACAGCAATAATAACTATTACAGTTGCCTGTAGTTCATAAAAGGGCTGGTTTCTTCCAGCAGATGCCCAAACAGTGCCATGGGAATTGTCTGGAAGAGCCCGTGCCCTGGCTCACACCCCTGGCAGAGCTGGCAGCATCCTCAGCCCTCCAGGGATGGTTTCTGCAGTGCTGGTGCAGGCTTCAGTGCAGCCCTGGAGCAGAGGGGAGCTCCCTAAGCCCCTGACACGGGGCCATGGCTTTGCTGGTGGCAGTAGCAGAAGTGCTGCTGCTTCTGGCTCTGGCTGGGGAGTGCCAGTCCCTCTGCTCAYCCACTGCCTTTTACAAGAACTGCTGGATCCGGCGCTTCCCAAGCCTCCTGGTTGACCTGCGGGAGTCCCAGAGGAGAGGAGCCCAGCTGCTGAAGGGCTATGCAGAAGTCTCACCCCAACAGTGCAGCAGAACCTGCTGCCTTCTGAGGAATGGTGAGTGCTTCCTGGCAAGATCATGGCACATATTAAAACTAACATCACAACATATGAAACCCACATTTTGGGTTACATTTCTCTGAACAGTCCTTTATTTTATAAGAAGAAATAAGTGGAGGGAGGATCTATATATTTTTTTGAGGCAGGAAAGCAGAGGCACACTGTAACTGTTGCCCCAACTTCAATGCCATAGAAAGGAAATGGTTAATCTGTAKTTTTAGAGGGCTACGCTAGGAATACATTAAAAGCTTAGGGTCTGCTTTGAAATTTTAGATGTCTGTTACAAAGCTTGTAGGCAATGCAAACATTAAAAGCATAACCCCCGTATTCATTCCCATCTACTGCAGACAAAAACCAGTGATAGTKATTCCAACAACACTGTCTTAATGGAATATGGCATCAGACTAGGACATGGTTAGAGGGGATGAGGAGGGGACACACAGTTTGTCCTCTGACATACAAGAATATTCATTTCCTTGAAGAAAGCACTCTCTTCTTACATGTTTACACCGTGTTTCTGGTGCAAAACAATAAAGTTATAGCAATAAATAATAGCACTTATTGAGCTGGCTACCCGTTTTCCCTAGYCTGGTAAACTCAGGCTCAGAGTAAAACTGAGCTAAATCATTGTTTGTCCTAAGCTTTGTACTTTTGCTGTGTCACACYGCACTGGTACTCTACAGGAGTATATTTTAGGAAGATATGTGAAGTGCATGTCAGTGGTGCCTAAATTTTCAAAACTCTCCAGACCCTAGGCAAGGGGTTTGGATATGTTTTGGAGGATGAAAGTGAGCTRCCAGTTACTAAAAAAAGTCAGTATAAATTTTGATGATATTTTGAATTATGAGCAGAAATACCTTGAAACCCTGACAGTGACATTAGTAAGGTAACTCCCAGCAGCAGTCCTGGAAAGAGTCAAATTCTGTCTTAAATAAGGTGAAATGAGAAAAATTGCATACATTTCAGCAAGRTTTTTCCTATCTGGACAACAAACTTTTTATCATAGAACACAGGACTAACTACTTACATAGACAATTAGTGGCAAAATCTCTTTTTTATATTCTTTAATAGTCAAGCAAAATTTGTTACAATCTTAACTAAAATAAAGACATTACAGGGCRTTTCAAAGGGCTTTAAATCAGTTACTGTTTAATGAGATACATATGTAGAACTCAGATGGTTGTTCTAGACCAAATGCAAAATAATAATTTTTCTTTCSATTGTTCAATTAATTTTTATGATAATGAGAGAACCACAGGATCTGATCTCTCCTCCCACAGGATCTGGGCAGAGATGCCCAGTACCATGAACTTCTGATGTTAAGCAATGTCATAACATGCAAAATGCAATGATCATTCTGCTGAGAAGCTCAACTTTATTCTTTATGGGTTTCAGTATCCTGCAATCTAGCAGTGTTCTATCATGGAGTCATTCATGAGAACATGAACTGCCTGCACATGTCCTGCCCCGCTTTGGAAAGCTGCATTCTAAAGGTTGGAGTAGATGTCGTTTTGTACAATATCACAACAGGTAATGAAGCATTTAATTTATAGAGGCTGAAAACACAGCAACTCTAGGAAATGTTAAAGTGATACCAGGTCAGCTGCTGTGCTAGATGATTTCYTGAAGTAACATACAACCCTAAAAAAGATGAAGACATTTTTCCTTTTTTATTAATATACCTAGTTCTGAAAATACTTCTCCTCTTTCTTTCACTCAGTCAGAGTGGAGCTTGAAGATGCACCCTGCTCTAAAGATTCATGCTCTGGGTGCCTATACTTGGCCAAAATRCCCTCCCAGCTGAGTGACTGAGAGTGGAGGCTGCCACTGCTCCAGTTCCCAGACCCAACCAGTAGCATYGAACATTTATTTTCATGAGGCACTTGCACAAAGAGCACACAGGTAATACAGACAAACACATAAAGCAGACACACCAACACAGAGAGCACCAAAGGCCTCATCCTGCTTTTTCTGTTAGTTAAAATATGTAAATATATAGATCTACACACACACACATACACAATGCAAAGCTCCCCAGCAGCTGGGCTGAGATGCTCAGGCTGCCCAGTCTGGACCCCAGTCTCCCCAGTTGCTGTCACTGGGATGTTTGAGCACCCAGAGTGCAGCCTCCCTCCAGTAGACTGTCACACACACACAGATTTTCTGTATTTCTCTACCCTCAGTAGCCTGGAGCCCACCCTTTCCTCACCTTTGGTTTCTTCCCTAATTATCCTATAATAAATCCTGTGCAATTCCAAAATGCACATCCCCTGCATCCCATAATGTGTCCCATAACCCAAGGCAGTGACACTTCCATTCCAAAAGGTATTAATGGGCATTGTTTGGGCTCCCTGCCCTGCCCCTTTCTCCATGGATTTTTCTTGTGAGTGTGCAGACAAGCTTTTATTGCTGAACTAACATTATTTTAATTTAATAGGGATTGATCCAGATCTTCTCATTTTTGAGAAACTGAAATCCCAAGAGCCAATTGCTCACTCCTCAGCGAGTAAATCCAAGAGGCAACATAGCACAAAGAGCCCTGAGTGTGGAAGATGCCAACATCACAATGCCACCATGTCAGGTTCTCCTCTGCTTCGGGSTCCATCTGCTGCCACAAGCCATGGCTTACCAGCAAACACTTCCATCCACAGCTGGAGCCCGACAATGCAGACAGCTGAAGGTACTGCCTATTCCAGGGCAGAAACTTCCCCAGCAGACGATCATTTTGCTGAGGGGACAAGCACTAGGTCTCTCACCAGGTCAGATAAGATGCCAGCACACTCAGCTTTGAGCCCCAGGCCTGCCGAGGTGTTATCCCACATGCCCASCCCTCCTCACCTGAACAGCAGCAARCAACATCTGAACGAAACCAAAGGCTACAGTGGGAGGAATTCCACATCGGAAAACGAGGCAGCTGCCTGGGAAGCTGCAGCTTTMGGGGTCTGGCTGATCCCTGTTGTCCTTTGCTCCTCTCTCCTCTGCCTGTGCTGTTGTACTGTTGCTCTCAAAGCTGGGCCCTGCAGCTACAGGAGGGGTCACTACAAACCCGTAAGGACAAGAACAATAATGGCCAGACAGCTCATAAAATAYGCTCCTGTCAAAGGTAATCTGTGAAACACCATCCTGAATAAACAGGATTTAGAAAATGCATCCCACACACCCACTGACTTCTCTTACAGAACCAATGATAAGTTCGTGCAGAATATTTGGGTTATGATTTAATTCTTGGCAGATGAAACACAACTCTCTGTCTCTTTAGGTAAGAAGCACCCACTCACAGCTCTTGCTGTTCAAGCACATTTTGGTTTATAATCTGATGCAGATTAGTGTCTGACAAATATTKTAACACCTTTCCTAACCAAAGACACAGGTTCAGTGCAGCTGCAGTGTTGGTACATCTATCTGACAGAATTATTTAACTAGATGAGAAATCCAGTTATAATTATTTTTCTGCTTGTCTGTTTGCTACCAAATGAATAAACATCCTATGTAATGCAGGAATACAAGTGACTTATAAAATGGTGGTTTTGTGTGAAATGGTCGAAGCTACCATGTTTGCTGCCAAAGAAGAGCTCATAAAAACCCCCACACTTTAAAGAACACTGCATTTTTATATGACTAAGAGTTAAGATGCCCAAACCGARAATCAGAGAAACRSTTTGTAAAGAACTAGGTCTGTACTTTTGGATKAATTTCTTCAAGTTAAATACAGCTRTTAAAATTCTGCTTGTAATCACTTCATAGTCTCAAGTGCTGTCAAAGAGAAGGCAATTTAAACTGCAAGACCTTGCAGCATTGAATTCCAAATATAATTTYTCCTGAAAATTAGGCAACATACTAAAATTATTATTGCTACRTAATWGCRTGTRATTTTTAGAATACAGAATTCACATGCAGGTAGCTTAATCTAATTTAGATTAGAAAATTTATGTTCTATTKACCTAAAAATTGCCCCATAGTTTCAGCTGGATAATGTGTTTCAGYTTTCTTAGCCTTGRGTTTTTCCAAGCATTRCTAAATACCARTTATCTTCAATTACAGAGCCATACACAGCTTGTGTTAGAATTAGTTGTTTTATAYTTTGGATTTTTATTTGAATAGAAATTTATTGTTTATTTTTGAAAACAGAAGAGTGCACAAGGCCTCTTTCTCCCTGTTCCACATAGTAAGATTTGCAGTTTGAGGCAGCAATATGGTAACACAATGCCCTTCACTCGTTAATTTATAATGTGGAAAAKAATGCATTTTTTATTTAACTCATGATTTAATCATGCACCAAGGATAGGGGAAGATGCTTAAATCAATAATATGTATTTTTATGATCTATTGCTGAACTTGCAGCCACAAAAGCCTGTCTAAGGAGTTTAGCTCTWAGAGTAACCATATGGTAACAAACTGTGAATGTGCGCCATCACCATTCTCCTCTGTACTAWTAAGACATTTCTGTTCTCAGATAAATACTTCAGAGTTCAAGTGAAAACTGACAGGTTCTATCATACTGCAATACCTTCCTTACCTGAAACTTACACTAATTTCATGTCCCCAAGTTTTTAAGTGTCCATTCTTCTGGTTCAGGCTGAGCTATGCCCTGAAYGCCCAACAGAGTATCTGCTGATCCTGCTATCAGTGACCCTCAGGAGCAGCTTGAGTCAAGGAAAAAAAGAAGAAAAGCTGATCTTATGGGATGGATACTGCTATTAGATTGTTTTTTGTTTTTTTTTTTAATAGAATAAGTCATAGGTAGGTTAATGCTTGCTTTCAAAAAGGAGAGTTTTCACCTCCCTTCAGTCTCAGAAAAGTAACTTCTGTCTGATCATTGGTTGCAGCAAGCAACCGGCATTCCTGGTTCCCTGATCTTTTCATCTCTGGATTAGTGAATCTATGAACACCCTGATGCTCCTTTGAGTCTTATCCTCAACATGATATTCATGATAGGTAGAAAAATCCTATCATGTACCTGGGACCTCAGTTCTCACCAGAAAAAGAGAAGGAGTCAAAGTCAAAAATTCTGTCTGTCCCATGAGCAAATGTTTCTGGGACAGCAGGGAATGATGAAGGAAAGATCATGTTCTGAAGAGACTTGTTGGTTTGTTGACATATAGAGGAAAAAATACAGGCAGAAAAAGTATTATACAAAGCACAAGAGCAGAGCTGTTTTATTACAGACTAAGAGAGTCACAAGAAAATAAATAAATACATTTTAAAGCAAGAAATGACTTGCAAGATGATTTGTCCAGACAGCACATCCCTTTTTAATCAACTGTTCCTTTATCCCTTACTTGTGCTTGTAGCAACTCTATGCCTGAAAACAGGGAAAAAATGTCCACTCTTTGGAATGTTTATGTGGGGGATAAAAGGAAGGTTAGTCTCCTCAAAAGCACTAGTGAAACTGAGTATCACATGTTCTCCCTTCCCACAGGTGTGCACAAAGGGATACACACTTCAGTCAGTTATTTACATTATAATGTACCTGACACATTTTCAAGTGCCCATTAGTAAACATGTATTTATTACTGTGCTGTAGATCTGCTTTAATCTGTAAATCTCTTAATCTCTACCTCTTCACAGTCTTTAAACTTCAGCACAAATTTCCAAAGAGATGGATGATGCAAAAGTATTATACAGGAAAACAGAGTTGTGTAGTTTTACCTTACAAAAACRCGTGCTGTATTATGCATCCTTGAGGTTGGGAAGACTCCCACTGGGGATAAGATTCCAGTGTTCCAGGTGTTCTACACAGCCACAGAGAAATACTGTCACCTTCAAACACAAACAGTTTAAAGGGAGGAGCAGAAAAACAGAGAGAACATCCAAGAGCTCAAAATAGCATCCAGGCTGCCTTTCATTCTACCCRCTGCATCACACAAGTTCTGTACTGTAACATAGAAACCATCACTAAAAATCACAAGTGTAAGTCTGAGTTTTACCCCAACATTGCTCTTGGCCAGCAGGCAYCAYCTATTGTTGGGAGAGACACTTGACTGTCCTGGTGCTCAGGAGACAGCCACCTTTTACCCTGCCTTGTTGCGTTTATAGGATGTACATAAGTTAGGTTCGAACACTTCAGATAGAGCTGTGGAAGCCTGTGCCTTTAAGGTTTTCCATCAATTAGCATGAAATGGTAACACAATCAAAATAAAAAAGTTTCCCTTGCTGTGCTGTTCTTTCTTCCAGACATTATTATTGTTAAGGTCAAATTGTTTTAGCTATGACTTCCAGAGTTCTGCTTAGGTCCATTCAAATCCTGAGAAAAGCAAAAGAAAACTGGGTTGTCCTTTGCTGCAGAGAGGATTTTCTCAGGTGCTTACATGTCCTGAGTAAATAAGRACAGCTCTATGGAGAAAAATAAACTTAAGGGGCTTGGTATTTCTTCAAACATTTTACGGTCTTGCTCCTGACAGCCTTGTACACACCACTGGCTACAAGGCTGGCTGCTAGGGCAGCCTTAGTGCAGGCACTGACAAAGCTAATTAAGGAAACAGATTTCTCCTGTGCACATACTAGAAACAAACTGCCTTTGGAACAGAGCCAGGCACAACTCCAAGCACCAGCCATACCATTCTCTTGAGTCAAACTGCACTTACTTCCTCAGTCATTTTGGTTTCACGGCTGTTCAGAGAAGATTTGGAATTACACAGATGTACCGGTTCAAATGAGAATTTTAAACATTACCCTCATTGTCCCTAGATAAAGGAGCAACCTCATAACAGCTTTCTCCATATTAAGCTTCTGCTAAAACTTTACATTAATACATATCCAGAAGGAAGGACTACTAAAGAACCAAGTCAGTAAGTGCAAAATTGGGATTACAGGACAAGCATTTTCAGTCTTAGCTACAGCTCTGGCAAATTCTCATAGGAATTAAAAAGCTACTTTAAACTCAGTCTCTCACCATATGAAAACAATCCTGACCTAAGAAGAATCCTTCCTAAACTGACAGTGTTTTGGCAGTGAGAACAGATGCACTCCTTGGCTGTACGTACACACAGAGCACACTGTGAGAAATCCTAGCAGGGAGTGAGTCCAGCCACACAGAACACTGCAGGAATCAATTCCCTTCAGCTTTCAATGTCCTTATTCTTACACAGCTTCTTCTCAAGGAGCTGCTGGCAGGGTCACATGGGCAGCTCTTTTATAGGTATGCAGAATCCTTAACTCCCTCTGCCCCTTCCAGAGAATGACTTTCTAAGCAGAAATCTTAGCAGGCCAGGGAGATACAACAAAAGCAAGAATTATTGATGTCCTTTCAAGGTTTGGTAGGGTTTTTTTCCTTAAATGTGAGAAAACACAGAAATAAAATTGTCTGTGATTTCGATATTTTAAATCAATTCATTTCAAATACAAATTAGCAAATATGAGATAAACATCCATATAAATTTTTCTCAATGCTACACAGTATGCTACAAACTTCTTTTTTCTTGAAAAGCCTGGTTACATTGAGGAGAGAATTCAGCAGGCCTGGGGTTACCAAGACTCATTGCATTAGTTACAAACCCACCTCTCCARCTGTCATCATTCTTCCTGTCTCGTGTACTCTGGGATCTCCTCAACAACTTTCACCTTCCCACTACAATGCCATTTTCCATCTTATTTTACTCCATTATTTTRGAGACCGGTGTTTTTMCACAAGGTACTTGTTTGCCCTCAGGGTAACATCTCAGAACCTCACACTGTCCCGAGTGCTTCAACACCTCTTCAAGTCAGACTACTTGGACGACATTATCCTTATTTTACTGACAGGGAAAAATCTGAATGGCATTTGAAAAGCATTTAGAACTCTTAAATTTTCAGACTTTTAGTTAGAGGAACTTGAAGCTTTAGTAATTTCATTAGTTTTGACGTTGCTTTAGGTTAAATGCCCAAAGAAGTTGTGTGAGAAATCAGAATATGATTAAGCAGAGGACTKAACAAAGATCTCCCATGGTAAGAAAACACAGAATAAAACATTCAAGTTACCAGTATGAATCCAAATGTTTTTATTAAAAGAACAAAATTYAGGGACAGGGCTTAACTCATGTCAAGTTTCATATTTCTGGTTCAGGTTTGGAATAATAATACATCCCTATCATTTAGAAATACTGCCACAGAAGTTGAACATTTCTGTAATAATCAGAGCTACCTGCAGRCTCTGCTCTCATGCTTGTATATTCAATATTTTCTTCATAGATTCCTTGTACTAAGACACGTTACTTTC